AACACAATCTTTACACGGAAAATTTCCCTGGGCATCAGAGAGGGTCCCAGGAATGGGGATATAGGTATCTGCACGCACCAATTTAACCCGTAGATTTGGAGGCCTGGAGTGACCAAAGAGAGGTGGATCAGTGAACAGGCCTGACAAATCACAATCACTCTGTATGATATGCCAATGATTATTGATTGCCTTTTTGATTTCTAGACTCAAGGGACTAAAAGTAGATTTAAATACACAAGACAACTTCTTATTTTTCAAGTTAGTATCATCTGGCAAAGATCTCATTTTGTCTAATGCAGTATCTAGCCACTTGATTGGATATCCCCGAGATCTAAAATCACTATATAAGATCTGGGCTTTGGCTTCAAAGTCATCCTTGTTAGAACAAATGCGAAAAAGTCTCATAAACTGACTATACGGCAGACCACGTTTTCAAGGACCTGGGATGAGCACTCCTTGCATGTAAAAGACTGCTTTTAGAAGTTTCCTTTCTATACAGAGTAGATACTAGTTGGCCATTGATAACGGAGATGTTTGTGTCCAACAAATTCATGTCTGTTGTCCCCACATGATAGGTGAACTTAATGGATGACCTAAGGCAATTCATATATAAGGCAAAAACTTCAAAATCACTAGCAGAACCTTTGTAGATGATGAAAGAGTCATCAATATATCTTTTGAACAACACCAAATTGTTGATAAAAGGATTATTATTAAAGATATATTGATCTTCAAGGTAACCAAGATATAGGTTTGCATAGTCAGGGGCCATAGTGGCACCCATTGCTGTACCCTCAATTTGTAGATAAAGTTTGTTCTCAACGAGGAAATAATTCTTTGTCAAGACCAATTCAGCCATATCCACAATAAATTTGGTTGGCAGACCTTCATCATCACTGCGTAGATCAAGAAAATATTTCAGTGCCAAAAGGCCCTCAGTATGGGGAATGTTAGTGTATAAAGAGGTCACATCCATTGTAGCAAGTATAATGTCTTCATCTAGATTTTTTATGACTGACAGACACTGAAGAAAGTCTCTTGTGTCCCTAAGATAGCTAGGAAGGGTAGCTATTGTTTATCTTGTAAATATTTCTATTTAATAGCTTTAATTTATTTTTATTTCAGTTTAGTCATTTTTGTACCTCAATTTAAAGGGATAGGTCACCCAAAAATACAAATTCTGTCATGAATTAATTACTTACTTTGTTTATCTTTGGAACACAAATTCAGATATTTTTTATGAAATCCGAGAGCTTTCCAACCCTGCATAGACAGCATCGCAACTGACAAGTTCAAGGCCCAAAAAGGTAGTAAGGAAGGACATCGTTAAAACTACGGTTAAAATTACGGTTGAACCACTGATGTCACATGGACTATTTTATCAATGCCCTTACTACCTTTCTGGACCTTGAACATGAACTTATGAACGTGAACTTATTTTCATCTAATATTTATTTTATTTCAGCTTTATTTCAAATAAAGATACAATTTTTAATAGTTTTAGTTAACAATGACAATACTGATTATAATCGGGTTGTATAGATCTAACAGCTGATTTGATGTATAGTCTACATATAAAAAATAATAATTTTGTCATCATTTACTCACCCTCATGCCTTTCCAAACCTGTATGGCTTTTGTTGAATATGAAAGATGATATGTCAATGGGAACCAAAACAACATTGGACCCCATTGACTTCCATAGTACACACATACACACACACACACAAAACATTATTTTTCAAATATCTTATTTTATTTTCCACAGAAGAAAGTCATACAGGTTTGGAATGACATGGGGATGAGTAAATCATGACTGAATCAAAGGTAAATAAATGTTCTGGTCAAAGGTTAACGTGATGTAAAGTTCAGTAAAACCATCAGTCGGGACTCAAGCGCTATATATGTAGCACCAAGCACATTGTCCAGATTTGTGTCAGCGAAACATAAAGCATACACTTCCCCTGTGAGGCAAGACCATGCGCACTGTACTGGGTGACCTAATTTTTAAGCACAAAAGATCCTGCGAGAGTGGCGAGCTCGTGAGCAGACATGAGGAAAATAGCTTTGCCCATGGGTAGCGGCGAGGGAAAAAAGCATTAAAGATACCTCACATGGAGAGACACAGGAAAGCTTGAGAGGTCCGCTGTACAGTTTCTGAGTCTAGAGAGTGTCTCAAATGCCAAACGCCTACACAGCGATGTAAACACAGACATGGTCGCTCAAGACGACAGTCAATGGTGAGCGGTTTCCACAGCGTAACCAAACTGAATACGACAGATCAAATTCTGACTAATTTAGAGAGGAAACTTTCCATTCATAATACACAAGTCTGAAATTGTTTTCAGCATATCCTGAGCCATCTGATGCAATGGCATCGAAAACAGTCAGGTGATGCTAAACAGTCACAGGTTAGCTGCAATCTAAACTGCTTTACATTAAAATATAGAGTAAAACCCCTCTCGGCTTCCCACAGTCAACTGATTACAACACAAATCATGTCCAGACATGACTCAAGCTGCGCAGGTAAGATCATGTTGCATAACTAACATGCCTACAATCAGGGTATGTCATCTCACTCAACAGATCTGACACAAGCCCACAGTAGGAGCACACTGTCTGTGAGGAATAACACTACTGCAGCATTCAGAGACTCCGCACACATCATATAGAGCGTCTAGAAACTAGAGCATCCGAAACAAAGAGCAGCATGAATCAGGCCAGCATTTCCGCAGAATTCTCTTTACAAGTTTTGAAAACATGTTCTAACATCCAAAGTAATTTACAGTTGCGACGAAAGAGAAGTAGTGACAGGTGTTTTCTTTTTTTATTGTGATGCACAACTGAGTCTAACGAATTATTGAAAAACATAGGGCGGGGCCTTGGTTTTATAAATCTGTTGTCTGATTGGATTTTGAGATGTTGGCACTGCAATCAAAAATGTAATGAATGTGAGCTTGGAGGGGCGGGATTAATGATGTGAGAAGTCCTGCATATGTCATTAAAGGGGTCATATGATGCGATTTCAAGTTTTCCTTTCTCTTTGGAGTGTTACAAGCTCTTGGTGCATAAAGAAGATCTGTAAAGTTGCAAAGACTAAAGTCTCAAATTCAAAGAGATATTCTTTATAAAAGTTAAAGAGTCAGCCACGCCTACCTAATATTCTGTTACACCAAATACACAAAATAATGATCTTTAAAATAGCATCATATGACCCCTTTAAAGAAATGTTTTTTTTATTTTTACCGGAAGATCCAGTTATGATTAAAAATTAGAAAAGAACAAAAATATTAAAAATTAAACATATACATTGATAAAATCACAATTAGATCTACTGTATAACATGCATTCAGAAAACTGATTTGGCATGAATTTTCATTTCAGCTTAATTTAGCATCATTATGTCAGGCATGAGGAACAAAGTGCAAACATTGCGTACAGAATGTCACTATGGTCCATTCATTCCATTTATATGCATGTGAATGCAGGAGACAAGTTTCACTTTTTGCTGTGTTCCAAAGTTCAAGTTTTGTTAACTCTGACCAGTGAATTTGTATCATGTGAAGACGAGTGCTCAATAAAAGACTGATATGCCATAGCATGACCTCTTAGCTAAATCAAATGAGTAAAAGCTGCAGGTGTGCATATATATAGTATATTGTATCTTTTTGCATTTGGGATGTATTATTAATTTTACGTTTAATTTTATTTTTTTTAAAAGACACAGGAGAGCTTGATGTCATGTTGCGAATGTTACGATGTCATAATTTTGCAAGCTCAAAGTCTAGTGTCACCACCCCTTAAGTCTTGCTAGAATCAGAATTTAAAAATGTACTTTCTCTCTCCTCCTGACCCTCGTACTTTTCAAACATAAGCGAAATCCAGTCATTCCAGTTTGAATCTGGGCAACCAGGAGTTTCGCATGACGTCGAAAAAGTTCCCAATGCAGACTTCGCACATTTTTAAGTTGGGTATGTGAATTTGTTGCGTTGACCAACAGAACAACACTGCTTGTCTTTAAAGTGACTTCTGCTGTGAGCTGTGCTTTATATATCTTTGCGCTATTGCCAAAAAACAATAGATTTTTTTACTGAAATGTGACCAAGTCTTGCCAGATTCAAATTTGAAATTGCATTTTATCTTGCCTCCTGGCCCTCATCCAGAGCATCCCAGCACACACCACTCTGACCACGCAGCCAGAGAATGTATGTCACAGAGAAATGATCTCAAACAGACTGAACAAAAGACAGACAGAAGCTGCAAATCCAACACAATACGTGCGCGTTTAACACTAAAACATCTTGATAGTATATCATTATCATATAATGGCGGGGACCAGAAGTGAAGCTGTCTGCAATGCACACATTGCTATTTATTATAGGCCTCACACAGCATAGAGCATATCGGTCGGATGAATACCAGATACAGTCTGTGTATCAGTGTAAAACATCCAGCTATAATTTCATTCAGACGCAAAATACGGTTGACGCAAAAAAAAACAAAAAAAAAACTGCTCACGGTATATACAATGCGAAATTAGACAAACAAAATTACCATAATCACTTCGGTCGTGTCAGTCACGTTAGGGATAAAAATGAAGGACTAATGTTTATTGAATAGGATGTTTAATGTATTGGATAAGGCAGAACTCCAGACGAATTATGTAACGTTAGTAATAATAATAATAATTTTTCCACCGCTATTATTTCATCAGATGCTCGAGGACTAACAAATAGTGCATCTTTGTGTTCAAAAATATTTGATAAAATATTTTTCTCTAATTTCTGACAATAAAACATCTCTACATGTGTCTAAAATAAACATTTTAATGTAATATTTCTACTAATACTAAAACGGTTCGTGCATCTCTAAACTGTGTTTCTCGGTCAGGTGCATGAAAATCATCTCCCATATTTTCCCTCCATCATTAATGGCGAGATGCTGAACAATATATTTCACCCATTATACGTCAAAACATCTCACTGTATCTCTCCACTCACCCGCAGAGCAGACAGGTCGATCTCATCCAGACTCCTCGCAGGAGAGTCACTCGCCATGATTATCTGTTATATTCAACAATATAATGCCCGCAATAACATGAATACAGACGCCGAACTGATCCGTGTAATACACCAAACAGGCTGGATTGACTTCAGTCGGAGCAGATTAAGCTCCCGGATGGTGTTTAGCCGCTGTTCTTCGCGATACCGGGTTTATAAAACCGAATTAGCCGCTATAGGACTGTATGTGAAGGAAACATCTCGTGCTTGTACCGACGATCTGCTGCCGTACGAGTCCAAATCACCAGCGCCAATGAACGTGTGAATCAGGGCTCCGGCGGGGAAGGCGTGTCAATCACCAGCGTTTCTAGGGCGTGGCCTCTGAGTGAAAGGCGGGGCCAAATTCAAACAAACAATGTATACAATAGCATAT